CCTCAGTAGCCAAGCCTGCAAAGAATAAAGTGCATTTAATATAACATAAAAGAGTTATACTACATTTCTTGTGGGAAGAACAATAAGCTCCTCCTCTAAAATACACCAAGATAATTACAGTTATACTATCTACTCATACTTTTTAGGTTTTTTTACTTTTCTAGGCATTTTATTTCTTTTATTTATTTATTTATTTTTTTAAAGCAGCGGGCTGGGTTGGGCGGGTTTATTCGATTTTCTTGAGTTAACCCATAACCCGTCCCAACACAACCTGACTACACAGTCAACCCACCCAACCCATGTAAAAACAACAAAAAAATGACCCAACCCGGTCGGGTTGGTTCGGTTTGGGCGGGTTCGATCGGATTTTGCCCACCCTTAGCAAGGAGGCCGGGGTTGAAGAGTAATTTGTGCTGTGAATTTCTCAAGAGATGTGAGTGCTTGCTTTTGTCAATCATTTCTAGTAAACCCTTTAAATAATACCCACAAAATAACGTTTATGTCACCAGACTTAACACTCACCACTTAAACAAAATTCGGTCCTTTCATGGTGGAAACTGTCAAATTGATATGTCAGCCATTTGAAAACTCAGAAATTGAGAAAAAAATCATCCTAATTGACAGACTAATATATATTTTTATCACCCAATGAACAAAACCAGCAAGAAAAAATCAGGGACGTATTCGATGGGAGAAAAAATCGAATATAAATTACTAAACCAGCAAGAAAAAAACCAACCTGCAGGCAAACCTTCGGGCTTCGTAGAGAGATGATAAGACAAGATTTGAGGTATGTGGGAATTGCAATTTCAATTCAATTTTGGGGCTGATCTTTGAAGTCTTGAAGAAATGACGATTCCAAGGATTGAATGGGAATTTGATATAATGATATTTGGGTTGGGTTATAAAAAAATTGGATTGGACTGAATTTTCTAGGTGGGCTTGTAAAAAAAAAAAACTATTAACTTGGATTTGGGCTAGACCTGGCCCGGTCCAGTCCCCCAATCCGTACCTATGCTAAATATTAGTATCATATATGTAGCCTCCAAATTTATTAGCATGAGATTTTAGCAGATATGCAAATCCCTTGTAAGATGACCCATCAACTGTCAATAGGATGTGGATTCACTAATTAGAATGAAATATTTGTGAGTCGAGAACTTAGATGCATCACTTCCAATTTAGAATATTAAACAGCCCATCAACAAGTTAAATAGTGAAGTTAATTGTTCCAATGGTCATTAAACTTATGTCCATGTCTTTGATTGCTAATTGAAATTTAAGATGTCGAGTTTTGACTATTAAACTTTGAAAAATGTTGGACATTACTCATTGGCTAATTTTCGTTTCAAATATCTAACAGAATTAGTGACTTGGTTGACGAAATGCACATGTTGCGTCCCGCCATGCTATTAAACTTGGAGGTGGTCAAATTTTAGTCACTAGATTTTGAAAAATGTGTTCAATTCTTCACTAAACTTGGAAAAATGTCTTTTAATACTCACCAAACTTTAAGTCAAAGGAGACTAAGGATTAGTCAGGTCTCTCCGGGTGCTGCGCGAAGAGAAGTTTGAGATGAGTGTCCGAATTAGGTGAGCGGCGGCGTCTTCTAAGGCTTGGGTAGGTTAAGAAATGGTATTGAATGATTTGGCAAATGAACTGTGAAATGGTCTTTTTGAAGGCCTAAACGCTTTTGGTGGTTGAAGGTTTAAAAATACATTTATGTCAATAACTTATGTGAATTATCTTTAACAAAGTAGAATTGATGAGTAAATAAAGTGCAGGTGATAGTTAAAATGAAATATGGATTTAAGAGACTATTTTTCATTGATGATAAAACAAGGTTTACATGTTCGCGGCAGCCACTGTACAAGTGGTGTTCTATGTCACTTTAAAGTATTTACATTTGTAAGAACCAAAAAGATATCAAAATATTTAAAACAACCTTTTGAACTCAGAAACGTGACTTCATGAAAGATGCAGAAGAAGTTTATAATGATGCTTCTAGCCTCCTTAGGTACATGTTGAGATCTCGTCTTCATAATAGATGGCTAGAAAATTCCTACACAAGCCTCAAAAGTACGGAAGCCAAAAACCTGGAGATAACCCGAAAATGAGATGCCACCCCCTTCACCTTTGGTGGAAGGACCAAGAACTGCAACAAATAATAAGAAATCAAATATTACCCCCAATAGAGGGAGAAACAAAACGAACAAATAGGAATCTGGACATACAAATGTTTGCCAGATATTTAAGGGTAAATTGGAAAATAAAGAAATGCTTCCTAGATGAACGGTAAATGGTGGATTGCTAGCTGGGATTAAAGAAAAGAAAAGATAATTGCATCAAGACAGAAACAACGAGCCCTCAGACCTCCCATGGCGGTAACGAAACCAACATTTAAAATTCTTGTTTAGTTTTTCTTTTTAATTTT